CAAGAGATAAATTAGATATTATTAAGATATTTTTTTTTAAGTGTAACGAAAAATGCATATATATAAATTGTATTGTTATATTCATATATTGTAATGTTAATTTAAATTTATTGTAATGTTTCTCTCCTGATAATGCCTCAGCGGGGTCAGGAAATATGTAAATACTACATGTTAAAAATAAATGAATGAATGAATGAATGAGTATCATGCTGTCCAATTGCATCTTTTAAATGAATATAATTATCTGCGTGCAATTTGGCTTGATTGTTTTTTATGTAGTTTAGTCTTTCAGTTTCTATTTTTTCGTATTCATCTACCAAATATTGACTAAAAAGAACGCGATATTTAACCAAAAAGTTATCTTCTTCTCTGATCATTATTCTGTATCAATAAAAACTTACAGCAGAGACTGTTTTTTTCAAGGGAAACTTAGTTGTGGGATCGCATTGTGGTATGTTGATTGAATAGCCATCACCCCCCCAGCAAAACATCAACGGGTACTGCAGCGCATCATAAGCTCGATGTATCTCACTGATACGCTGAAGTGAGTTACTTCGGCTTTCGAGGATGATGTCTTTTCGGTCAAAATGCTGATCTACCAATACAACAGCCACTTCATTTGCCGTTAATGCATTAAATCTGCCTCTGTGTTCTCTTTGTGGTTTTTTATCTGCATGTATTATGACCTTGAATGACTCTGAAGGCAATATTTTATCAATAGCTGGTTTTAGATCTTTTATGTATGGGTTCACCTCACGTAACATGAGCTGCAATTGTTTGATTAAATTTGGTCTCAAATCAGGAAATTTAGAACATCGAATATTAGCTTTTCTATCATCTTCACCGACGAAATAAATTTGCAGAAACTGTGCATCCTGCCCAGGTTCTGGTAATATACTTCCAATTAAATGTTAGAGTTGTCCTTGAACTTTAAAAGTTGCTGACAAACCGCCTTCTTTTATTTGTTTTCCACCAAAGGAAGTCATTTGAAAACAGGCATTATATTTTCAGATATTATCCATGAAGTGTACATGATTTGGGTGTAAATCATTAACCAGACTGTAAAGTGGTTCAGGCAGTTGTTTAAACGGCTCAAGTTGTACTTTACCGGCACTACAACACATGCCAGGTGTCTCATCTTTCCACTTCAAGGCGTTACACCACTGACACTTGTACGTCATAGAACCTAGGACTACACTGCTGTCAGTTCCATAAGCAATATCTGAGTCATACGCCAAACCCGAAAGCAACTTGCTTCTCCATACACGCTGAATTGTATTTTCTCTATACCGTGACTAAATCACTCTATGCACATTGGTATTCCTGGCCTGATATAGTGCAGCAGCTTGCCTATGTTTTTCAGGGTTTGCAGCCTGGTAAGTGGCGACAGATTGCCTGTGTTTTTCAGGGTGTGCAGCCTGATAGGTGGCGACAGCTTGCCTCTGTACATCAGGGTTTTTTTTCTTATATTTAGACACAACTTTATGGTGGGATTCAGGTAGAGTCTGTCCATATTTTTTTTGTGCCTTTTTTATTTGATTTTTTCGTGTGTAATTAGTAAACCTTGCCCTACGTTTGTTTTTCTGTTTTTCTATTAATGTCACAGACTCAAATTGGGACAATAAACTTCTTATTAAATTTTTATCAAAATTTATTGAAGATACAATAGGTGAATGTTCACGCTCTAAAACAGGTACCTCCTGACAACCCTCATCAACTTTAAGTTGCGAAGGTGTATCAATTCCAAAATCATGTTCTTCTACAGCTACCTCCATACGACGACAAGTAATTTCCTCTGCTGCTATGGGAAGATAGGCATCAAAATGCCCACTGGACAAATCTTGGCTGAATCGTAATCGCCTTACCGGATAGTCATTAGATCCAGATTCCGTATATATAAGACCGTTTCTATAAACTTCAAACTTAAATGGGAATATTAATCCTGCTGCTATTAACTCACAAAATCCGCCATAAGTAGCATTTTTCATCATATCAGCAAAATATTCGTCAGATGTTACGTAGTTATCACCATTCCTCTCGAGGGTCATAATTGAAAATTTGCTCCAGTCATTAACCACATATCTGAATTTCTGAACGCACCTCCATCGCTCTATCTTGTGTTCCATACATTAAATAAGAGAGAGCACGAAACAAACATGCACTGTCACCAACAATAGAGACGACAGTACATTCTTCAACTTCTCCATTAACGTTCAGATTTTCTTTAGCCATTTTAAAAAAGTCTAACCGACAAAACAACGACAAACATGCACCGTCACCAACAATAGGGACGACAGACAAAAGAACGATAGCGCGTTTTAAAATACTACTAACGCCATCTATTGTAAACATTTAGAACTAAAAATTATTTTGTTCATCTTAATTTATTCGTTCCATTAGGTACTGATAGGTTCAAACTAATACATTTACATCCTCCATCATCCCTTATTTTATACCCATGGAGGTTGAATTTATAAAAATCCTATTTAAGCGGACGTCTTCATCATAGTAGCTCCAATCTTTAATTTCAGTTCAATCAGTCGAAAATATGCATAGCATCATTTATTTTTGAAATAAAAATACTTTTGGTCTCTAAAAAGAGGAGGTTATTGCGATGTTGGTTAAAAAAAAAAGTAATAGTAATGAACTTTTACTAACATCACTTGAAAGAGTGATATTTTTTCTTTATAAACAAACAAACTTTGATGAGAATTGATGAAAATTTAAATAAGTAACTGCAAGTTGAAATTTGATTTTTTTTTTCTTTAGTTTTTAGGATCAAATTTTGAAAAAAAAACAAACAAAAAAAAAACATGCAATTTTGTCAACACAAGTATTTTATACCTTTAGAAAGAAAACATAGCATAGAATTTAACTGAAAAATTGTAATTTTTCATGTGAGAGCTACAATTTCATTATTTTGTTATGTATAAACATATTTTTAGCATTAGTCTCTTTGAATATTTTCAGTTATCAGTTGGCATATTCAATTTTTTACTTAAATATAAATAGTATATTAGCAGTTCCAACAGAAGTTTGTTGATAGGAAAGATAAGAGATTTGGCTTCAACATTTGTCTATAAAGAAAGATCTGTCATGAATGTGTATAGTTTCATCATTACAGAACTAGTTTGTCTGCTTAAACCTGTTTTTAAACATTAGTTTTTTTTTAAACATTTTTAACTATAAATTCTAATGTGTTAGTATGCTTTGTGTGATTGAATTTGTTGATTCTTGAGAGAGACAATTTGCCAGTTATTAGATTTTAGTCACAATTGTTGATTTAGTTTTTAATGTAATTTTACAGATGATTTTGAAATATATCTGAATAAACGTATTTTTGTTCACATTCTTGAATTATTGTATATTGTTTTGCATTTTTATTTTGTGTTTAAAATTTCAATATTAATAATGTAGGTTGATTCTTGTGCTCTTATTAAAAATTTAAGCTATAATTTTTAAAATTTATTTAAATGATTTAATTTTATAAGATTACTGATTATTTTTCTTGTTTCAACTATCGTTCATTCTTTTTATTTCCTTTCTAAAAATGCTTTGTTTCATCCAAATCAGTAGTAGATCTAGAAGTATTCAAAGGAGAAGCTAACTCAAAAATTAAAAATATTTGAATAATTAATGATTACCTTTCATTAACATGTAAACATTTTGAAGTTCAAACAAATAAATTTAAAATTTTTTTGTGTAGTGTATGGTCCCATTGTAATTCTTTCCTTGGATCCACCATTGATCCAAATACAATTTTTTGAAGATATATAATTTTATATACATCAAATAATAAATTATATATATGATGACAATTTTCTTTAAATTCAGTAGAAATTTTCCATTTATTAGGTTGTTCAGAAAATAATTTCGTTTTTTTACTATGAAAGGATTTAGTTGTATTTTTACCCGCCAATTTCATTTTAAACCATATTGTCATTATATATTTTGACAACTGACATTTCATGGCATATTTGTAAAAATTTTGTTTGATTCTGTGCAATTGTTATTTTTGTTGTCCCATCAAATATGGAAGATCTAAAGCAGCATTTTTGGTATATTTTGCTTTTTTATTAACAAAAAAATAAAAGTGTTGTTCAAGCAAGAAAAAAATTGTGACATGAATGGAGATGATGTGTTGACAGAATGACGGTGCCAAAACTGGTTCACAAAATTTTGTTCTGGCAATTTCAATATTGAAGATGCACCTTGTTCTGGAAGGCCAGTTGAAGCTGATAAAGACAAAATGAAGGTATTAATTGAAGCAAATTGCCAAATAATAACACAAGAAATTGTTAAAAGATTAAATTTGTCAAATTGAACTGTTTATGATAACTTGAAACAACTTTGTTTCATTTCAAAGATCCACATGTTCTTACAGAAAGAGATGTTCTCTTTGGTGGGATTTTAAGGGAATTTTTTTTTTGAGCTTCTACTAGACCATTCTGCAATTGATTCAGAAGTGTACTGCTGTCAACTGGACAAATTGAGTGATACCATCAAGCAGAAAAGGCCAGAATTGATCAACAGAAAAAGGTGTATTTCATCATGATAATGCCAGACCTCACACAAGTTTGGTAACTCATCAGAAACTGTTACAGCTTGGATAGGATGTGCTACCACATCCACCATATTCACCAGATCCGGCACCTTCAGATTATTACTTGTTCTGGTCTTTACAAAATTTTTTAAACTGTAAGGCATTCACTTGAAATGACGATGACAAAAATCACTTGGATCAGTTTTTGTAAGCAAAGATCAAAACTTTTATGAAACATGGAATTATGCTACTACCAGAAAGATGGCAACAGTATTTTGCCAAAATGGTCAATATATATTTTAATAAAATATTTATATATTATAAGAAAATCATTTTTTCCCCATAAAAAAAACAACCCAATATTATTTATTCATGATAACTATTTCAATTGAGAAAAGTTGCTTATAAAAGGGGTTTTTACTCAACATAGTGTCAATGTAATTTGATGATAATGTAGGAGAGAGATTTCGTAGTAATTAATACACATTTATTTTGGTGAAGACTTAGATAGATCATTAGAATTGCATTTAGTTATTTATTAATTACCATTTTATAATTTCAGTCTAAGAAATATTAAAATTGAACAAAATTACATTTTGTTTGAATAAAGAAATATTTATGACTTAACATTAACTTCAATTATTTAATTCTTTATTTAGAAACACATTCTTATTTCAAAATATTATATATTTATTTCTTTACAATTTAAAATAGGTTATATATATATATATATATATATATTTAGTCTTGTTATGTTAATTCTAAAAAACAGAGTTTAAATCTTATCTTTTAATGTAGTTTGGTCTCAAATATCAGTAATTAATGCAATCTAATGTATTTAATAATGCACATAAAGCATATACAGTTAGCTCTTGTTATATGACTTACAGAATACTTTATAAATTTAATTTTGTGTAATATTAATTAAATTTGTTCTCATTTTTTTGTAAACTTTTTACAGATTAAAAATCCTCTAATTCCCACATACTTCACAAATCGAGCTCTGTGTTACTTGAAGTTGCATCAATGGGAATTAGCTTGTCAAGATTGCAGAAGAGCATTAGATATGGACAGCACTTCTGTAAAAGGTCATTTTTTCCTTGGCCAAGCACTTTTAGAGTTAGAGAGTTATGATGATGCTATCAAATATCTTCAGAGAGGTAATAGTTTTTTTACTAATTAGTTAAATATCATTTATTTATTTTATTATCATAAGGCTCAGTAGAGGTAATTGTCAAGTAAGCGAGTGAACTAAATAGCTTAACAAACCAAACCTTAGTATACTGGAATTAGAACACTTTGTCTTTTCGAATTCACATTTTATTAAAAAATTAAAAGATATATGTGACATCCGGACAAAATATGAGTATCATCTGCAAATTTTTTTTTACCTGTGTATCAAATTTTATCAAGTTCTGTCCATTCATTCACAGGATATCAATTTTTATCAATATTTTTCATTTCACTTAAAATTTTTTTTTCCATCAGTCAAAAAAGTTGTTTCACAAAATATCCGCTGATTATTATTTTCATCATTTTAAATCTAATTTTTTTGGACAAAATTTAAATTTTTAAATAATAGATTATTGAACTTATTTAAATTATATTAGTCTATATTAATATAATGTTCAAACTCTGGATTACAGGTGGGAAAAATCCAGTTCTGCTTCTGAAACTGGAACTGTTGGAACTGATTTATTTGCAAAACTATTCCAACGAAATGGTTTCTTGGAACTGCTTAATCTGTTGGACTAGATGGTTCCATGGAATCATGTTCTGTCAGAATTGCTTTTGGACTTGACATTACTCATCAATTTTGTGTGTGTGTGTGTGTGTATAAAATAGAATATTTATGTCTTTCTGTTCTTAGCTTTTTAGTAGATCTTCACCAAATTTTTCCTGCTTATTCTCTATGGAACTTTGAGGGAAATATAGAGTACTGTTAAGTCTCAACACCCTGCTCCCCTTATTAACTTCTAAACCTTTTGCTCAATCTGTACCAAATTTTTTCTACTTATTCTCTGGGACTTGGGGAGGAAATATAGACTTCCATGAAATCTGAACCTCACTCTCCTCCCAATTTGATCTACCTGACACTTCATGATAACCACAATAACAGTAGGTTAAAAGTCATGGAATATTGTCAATTAGTTTTATGTTCAAATTTAGATAAGAATTTACTGTTTCATTAAAAGCTGTATTCATAAAAGTACTAAATGAAGAATGTATTGGTAGTTCCAGACTCGGAACTATCAACACTCTGTGTAACTGTTTGTAGTAGTTTAGAGTCCAAATCAGCTTCAACCAGAACTATTCATCTCTAACTCTAGATTGTTTGAAATTAGTAGGTACCAGTGCATATTTGTCCTTTATTGGATACATATTTGAATTTTGAAAAAATTTGATGAGATTGATTTCATTATTCCAGTTTTATTGAATTATGGATATTCTGGTATTGGTGAATTGGAATTATGGATAATTTATTTACTGAACTGTCTGTTAGTGATAAAACAACTATTATACGTAAAGGGCTAGCTGCACTGGAAGGACAGATTACTATCAAATTATATCAAAAATTCTGCAATTATTTTTCTTGTGAGATCCTCTATGTATCAATACAAATTCTGTATAGCAATGACCATTGGATTTGCACTTATTACGACACAAAACATATTCATAAATACAATTCTATAAATTACAGTAAAATATCTATTGAATTTAAAGTATTCTTACAGAGATTGTATCCTCATATTAATATATCTAATTTTCTTTATTTTGATCTTGAAAGTCACATCTTGTCCTATATACAATCTCGTATATAGGACAAGGTGTGACTTTCAAGATCAAAACAATCAAAAAGATGGTCTTATACACAAGTAAATATAGTATATATGATATAAAAATATTACAACTCATAGAAAAAATCATTGATTATCAACAATTAATGTCAAAATTTAGAAAATACTTACTTAATAACACTTCTGACTGGCTAAATATCACTTGTGATATTTAGCCAATTGTTGTATTGATTTTATTTTGTAAATAATAAAAACATCTACTTAAATTAAAAAGGATGAAAAATATTTAAAATGCTTGTACTTGGTGTTATTTATTTTTAAAAATAATGATCAATTTTATGAACCTGTTAAATGTAAAATATTTTTCATTGGATTTTCAGATGAAAAAGTTTAATTAAAACTGAAATTGTCAGATCTAATAAAATAAAAGATTAGTCATTGAATATTAAGAAAAAATAAACATAATAAAATCTCATTAAGTTGTTAATTTATATTTAAGTAATACCATTTTAAATAAATATATATTTCTGAAATAAAAAATTAAATAAAGACATTAAATTGTGTTTTATTCAAGCAAGTGATTTAGCAAAAGAGCAACGACTAAACTTTGGTGATGATATTGCTAGCCAATTAAGAATGGCAAAGAAACGTCGATGGAATGTTTTAGAAGAACGTAGAATTCAACAAGAAATTGAACTACAGACATATTTAAATCAACTTATCCTAGAAGATAAAGAAAGGTTAGCTTGTGTTTATAAAGAATACTTCTTTTTATTTTGTAAATTTATTTTTTAAATCATAGTTTAAAGTTTGATTATTTTATTTCTATTTTTATCTTATTTATTTGTCCATTACTATATTTCTCAAGAACAATTGTTTTTCTAGAATCAGAATCATTCATTTTTGGATTACAAATCTGCATTAAAATCTACCCAAAATTTCTATAGCCACAGGTTGTCATTATTAACTTTGTTTTATAAGCAAGCATTTATCATTTCATCAAATTCAGAACAATGAATTTTGACATTTACAGTATTAAATTCTGATAATTGTATATTGAGTAAAGGCCAGTTCCTACTTGAAACTGCAGTGAAATGATGTTAACAGAGTGGTTTTGATTTTTGTACAAATTAAAGACAAAGTCGTCTAAAAATTATTTCAGACAATCACCATTTTTATTTAGTGTTCTAGAATAAGTCATACACATCTGAACCTTCCTTTTTAGACTACACAACTGCCCACATTTAAAAACGTTCCTTAAAAACAAAAGAAACCAATAAAGATTAAAAGAATTCTTCTTTAAAATTGGAATGGTAAATCTTAAGACGTCTTGTTAGTTCATCCTTTTCCATTCGGGTTTCTGGCTCCTTTTATCTACTGAGGATTAGTGCTGACAAATGTAGATTACGCCAAGATATCCTTCTAGTTTTGAGTGTTTTTGATGTCATCCTGTAATGGGAAGAATGCTGCTGCTTTCAGTCAACTTTTCCATTGCAGTGAAGATTGTACATGATTATTGGGACTAATCTCATCACTTTGGGTTGATAATTTTCATGTTTTAATGCAACTATTAACATGATCTGATAAACAGTAAATGCTTTCACAAATTATTGGAATCCATTTTTTACAGTCACAATGATGTGCTAAAAACATTTGGGAAAAATTTATAAAATTGAAACTATGCAATGGAAATTGTAGATAGATTTTTTTTGGTTATCTGCAAGAATTTTAACCATTTCTTTTTCTGTGAGAAAAGCTGGAAACTGGCCATAATGCACACCATAATAAGGAAATGAAAATTATTATTTTGGATAAGGTAATGATGATTAGAATATTTTCTCATAATCTTTTAATAATGTTCAATAAATTATTAATAAATGATATACAGTGGGTGATCAGTTAACGAACATAATCTGTTCCAAGACTTTGTTTGCTATCTGAATTGTTTGTTAACCAATTATCGATTTACCATAGGTTTTTATGGAAATTTTATTAATTCATTCTGGAGACTTTAAAAAATAAAAAAATATATACTTTCTTACTACATTTATTTATATGTAATAATAAAAATACATATATACACAGTCTTGCATTTTTATTAGTCATGTTTTTTCTATTTGTGGGAGTTAAAGAATCTGTATAATGTCAATTGCTTTTTTCTCTTTTTCAGGATGTTTCAAAAGTATAGAATTGTAATTGTAGAGATCCCTAAGCCTATTAACATCAACCAGGTTTGGATGCCATTTTAAGACCGCTGTTCTGGTATCCTCCCGCTTCTTCAAAAGATCTTTAATAGCAGACATCAGCATTAATTCTCTTTTTCAAATGAAAACATACGTCGCCGAATTTTTGGTTTTCTTCATTCAAGAGTTCTTGGCATTCTTTTGTCATCAGATCTGTTTCAGGTTCCATTATGAGCTCTTCTACGTTCTTTATTTCTCAGATGTGATTTTTGTTACTCCTTAAGCTGCTTGAGTCTCTATACTGTATTTTTCTTAGATAAGGTTGAACTGCAGCCTACTGTAGACCTGTTTGAGCCATACTGCTCAGCAATATCAGACATCTTCTGACCACTCTCTACCTTTGCTATTATAATCTCACCTTTCGAAAATAAAAACCGATGCAAAACTTAACGAGTGCCTGCCCAACAGTCTTGGGAATACTATAAAAGAATTGTTTCTGTCAGAAAAATAAAAGGCTGAAATTACAAGGGAGAGTTTCAAAGTTTGGAGGAATAGTATCCGATCAGTATATACCTGGATGAGCGTCGATGTCGATGTCTCCCATGCTCTGAAAAGTGAATTGTCGCCTGAAACAAGAGAAGACCAATTGTTATTCATTATTTTACATTGCTGCTTCTTGTGTTTGTTCTGTGAGGTGTTTGTTGTCTGAACATAAAAATCTTTCGCAAAAGTGTTCATTATCTGATTTGTTTGTTGATCACCCACTGTACTAAAAAACAAAATAATATAATAATTTATATAATTTTTTCCATTTTTTTATGCAGAATGATTAAAAAGCTATGCACATGTGTTAGAAATCAATTTTATTTTGTGAGGTTATTGTACGAAATTACAGAAGATAATAAAAACAAAGCCTACAATCTGATCTTCAAGAAAAGCAAAATTAAATCATGTTATTACAGCATATGTTTGAAAGAGCCTCTTTGTTCATTAGCACAAGCATGAACTCTACCATATTTGATGCTACCTTGTGAAACACTTGAAAACTGATGCTAGTGCTTGCCATTATAATGTTTTTCTTTAGTTCATTCTGTTGTGTGTGGATTACTTTTATGAACTGCTCCTTTGAAATATTCTCAGAGGAAAATATTAGGGGGTGAAAAATATGGTGATCATGAGGCTACAGTCTTTTTGAAATAAGACAGTCACCAAAGAATTTTCACAAGAACTGCAGTGTTTCATTCAACTTCTAACACATGGTACCATCTTGCTATTGCTATAAAACCAGCAATTACATTCATCTGTCTCCAGGAATGTGATGATATCCTGATACAGTGTGCTAATCATTGTCTTTTCAAAGAAATTAGGTCCCACCATTTGACAACATAATACTGCACATTACACTCCAATTTTTTGTTTGTGCAAAGGTTTTTCATGCAAAATATGTGGATTATCAAAGGCTCAAATCCTATTGTTTTGACTATTCACATAGCCACTGAGGTAAAACCATGCTTTCTCAGTGAAAAAATCCTATCAAGCTTCTCAATTCTGTGCCCTTCAACAAATGGCTGAAGCCAGATGCAGTGGTTTATACACTTTTATTTATCTGGGTTCTTCACTTTCTGGACAGATCATATTGATACATGATATGCAGGAAGACATAGCTTTCTGAGCATTTCCATATATCCCTGATTGCACTGCTAGTTTTCTGAGATTTTTTGAAGGTGAACTCCTCAATGCGCTGTCCATATCAACCAGTTTAGCTTCTGTCAAATGGAAGATAATGGGCCCTTCCTGTCTGATCCACATTTCCAAAAATGGTTGATTAATCTGGTTATCATCAAATTATTAGGGAATGCAGAATTTGTATATTTTCAATAAAAGTTGTCTGCAACATATGCATAAGAGTGACTGGTGAAATAATGCTCAACAAAGAAAATTCATCATTCTTGGAAAAAACCATTTTACTTTGTCAATGAACAAAACTATACTGCAGCCAATTTTATGATTTTCACACAAGTCAGAGTTTCAACTAATAATCAACAGTCACTATAGTGTCATTTTATGATGCAAGACATAATTAAAATAACTTAACATAATTTATACAAACTAATATTTTGATATGCATGACTTTTTGATCACTGTATTTTTCTTGTATATATAACTGATTTTACGATGTTGGATCTTCAGAATAATGTCAGTAATGAATAAATGATTAGAAAACTTGTAATTTGCACAAAATAATTGTTTATCAGAAAAAATGAGAATAATAAAAAGTAATATACAGTGGGTGATCGGTTAACGAACATAATCCGTTCCAAGACTTTGTTCGCTGTCCGAATTGTTCGTTAACCGATTATCGATTTACCATAGGTTTTAATGGGAATTTAATTAATTCGTTCTGGAGACCCCCAAAAATAAAAAAATATATATACGTATATACTTTCTTACAACGTTTATTTATATGTAATAATAAAAATACATACATAGAGTTCTGCATTTTTATTAGTCATGTTTTTTTTCCATTTGAAAGGGTTAAAGAATCTGTCTAATATCGATTGCTTTTCTCTCTTCTTCAGGATTTTTCGTAAGTAATTAATAGCATTGCAATTGTAGAAATCCTTAAGCCTCAACCTGGTTTGGATGCCATTCTAAGACCGTTGTTCTGACATCCTCCCACTTCTTCAAAGGATCTTTAATAACAGATATCGGCATTAATCCTCTTTTTCAGAAGAAAACATATCTCGCCGAGTTTATTGGTGTTCTTCATTCAAGAGTTATTGGCGTTCTTCTGTCGTCAGATCCACTTCAGGTTCCATTATGAACTCTTCGATGTTCTTTATATCTCAGATGTGATTTTTGTTACTCTTTTAGCTGCTTGAGTCTTGATTATACAGTATTTTTCTTAAATAAGATTGAACTGCGGCCTACGGTAGACCTGTTCACGCCATACTGCACAGCAACATCAGACATCTTCTGTCCACTTTATACCTTTGCTATTATACTCTCATCTTTCGAAAAGAAAAACAGACACAAAACTTAACGAGTGCCCGCCCGACAGTCTCGTGAATACATAAAAGAATTGTTTTGTCAGAAAAATAAAAGGCTGGAATTACGAGAGAGAGTTTCAAAGTTCAGAGGAATACTATCTGATTGGTATATACCAGCTTGAGCGTCGATGTCGACGTCTCCCACACTCCGAAAAGTTTCGAATTGTTGCCCGAAGACAAGAGAAGACCAATTGTTATTCATTATTTTACGTTGCTTCTTCTTGTGTTCGTTCTGTGCGGTGCTCGTTATCTGATCATGTGTTCGTTGTCCGAACATAAAAATCTTTCGCGAAAGTGTTCGTTATCTGATTTGTTCGTTATCCGATCTGTTCGTTAATCGATCACCCACTGTAGTTTCATTTATTTATATAATTATTTTTAAGAACGAATTTATTGGAAAACTAAATTTTTTCAGAGCATTAAATTAGGAATCTATTGTACATATTGTTATACATTTGTTAATGAGATTTAATAAAAGAAATCTTAAAATTTATTGTATCGTAATCAGTTATTTTTCTATAAATTACTCTCTTAAGTCTTTTAATAGCATTCTCTGACTACATATGACTACAGAAATTTTGGATGATAATTAAGAGATTTGAAATTTACTTGTCAGAATATACAGGGTGAACCAAAAATAGGTGGATGTTAGTTGGCATAGGGTTTGTGTTAGGGTTATACTATAACAATGCTATATATTTTACTTGGTTATGGTTATGATTGGAAAATTACATCAGAGATGCATTTCAAGAAATTAATACATGAAGATACTTGTGCAAAAATTTTGTTGAAGTGTGAAATGTAGACTTCAAAGCTGTGTAAATTGTGATGGGCAGCAGTTTGAGCACCTGCATTGATAAAATTGTATTGTATTGTATTAGTAAGTATAATTGTATATGTAATCTCAATAAATGTCATCATTTACTGTCCACCTATTTTTAGTTCACCCTGTATAGTATATTGGGTGTATAAATATGACTCCGTCCTTTTTTTAATAGATGACATTTGTAATACTGCTTGCATGCAACTGAATCTTACAACAGCTTTATTTGAAAGGATTGACAGCATTCTTTAAAAAGTAAGCATGTGAAGTCTGTTTAAAGTGTAAATAATAATTATTTTTACCTCATTAAAAATGTTGAGTTTTGTGTCAAAAAACATTTGTGGAAATTTTCACTTTGTTATTTTATTGCAAAGGAAACTACAGAAGAAACATACTGTTTGCTGTTGGAAATTTATAGTGAACATGCTTTGTTGAATACAATTTGCAGAGTGGTTTCGATGGTTTAAAATAATAATTTTGAAACACCTGACAAGAGCATAGAAAACCACCAAAAAAAATTTCAAGATGAAGAATTGGAAGCATTACTGAATGAAGATCCTTGTCAAACACAATTGGAATTGGTTGCTGCATTAAATATTACCCAACCATGCATATCCCAATGTCTACATGCAATGGAAATGGTTCAAAAGCAAGGAAATTGGGTCCATATGAATTGAAAGAAAGGGACATTGAATGTCAAAAAACCATATGTGAATTATTGCTTCAAAGACAAAAAAGAAAAGGTTTTTTTGTACCAAATTGTTACTGGAGATGAAAAATGACTTTACTTCAACAATCCTAAACAACCAAAGGCACGGGTACATCCAGATGAACCAGATTCATCAATGCCAAAACAGAATATTTATGGAAGTAAGGTTATGTTGTGTATATGGTGGGACCAAAAGATCATTTTCCAACATGACAATGCTTGACCATATGTTGCAAGACCAGTCAAGGAAACTCTAGAAGCACTTCACTGGGATATATTACCCACCCACTGTATTCATAAGATATTATTTCTTAAGATTACAATTTGTTTCAACCCATGCAGAGAGACCTTTCTGGAAAGCAGTTCAGTTTTTATGAGGATATCAAAAATTGGGTTGATGACTGGATTGCTTCAAAACAACACAACCAGACTTCTTCTTTCCCAGAATCTGTTTGTTGCCTGATAGATGGGCAATTGTTGTAGCTTTTGATGGAAAATACTTCGAATAAATCTTTCTTTCATTTTAAAAAGAAACAAATGTCTTTTATTTACTTGAAAAAGGGTGGAGTCATATTTGTACACCTAATATTATACACTTTTTTCAGTTTACTTTATTTATAGTTAAAAGTAAACTATTAGGAGAAGATAAAATTCTTTATTTAAGTTTAATACACAGTAAGTTTTCACTTAATGTCATCAATAGGTTTGTGGCAAAACAACATGTAACTAAAATAATTTTATTGTAGGCTAAGTGACAAGCATGGTATAGTTTGATTGTGCTTGCAATCGCTAGCACTTACTTCTCACCTCAGAATCAATTTTCTGTTTACAAAAAAAATTCAACAACAACAAGCAATTATGTATTGTAGCATTGTCACAATGCTGGGCTGAAATTTTTAATCATATTTTTAATATATTTAATTTAAAATATATGCTTTCCACCTCAAATTAGTGGTGGCTTGCTCTGTATATCATAATTTTCCTTTAACATTTATTTTGTTGTGCTGATCATCTATGTAACTCCATTCAGGGGAAATTTTTGAATTGAAATAACATGACTTCCGGTTTGCATTGGTAGTTCATATATAATTAAGCAGGTCTTTCTGCCCCTAAGGTTTCCATATCTGGTCTCGGATTTTATGTATCTGACTCTGTTCTCGAGATTAAGGAAATACAGATAAATGACAGTGGGGATTTATAGGCCTACAATTTTTTCAAATTGCAGCCCAATAATTGTAAATAATTACAAATGTACTTGTATCTTTCCTTAGTGATGCTATAATGAAATAGTGTTAAACAAAATGATGTTAAGTGAGGACTTGCTTTATTTGATTAAAAAAATCATTTATATATTTTTATATATATGATATGATTGTTTCTATATGATGATATAAATATTTTTTTAAGCAAATAAGCTGACTTTTTATATTTCATAAGAAAAAGTCAGAGATAAAATTTTTATCTAATATTATACTAACAACTGATGTCACTAAATTAATTTTTTAAAATTAATTTTTGTAATTTGAAAATTCATATAGATGAGAAAAGTGCTGCTTTAATAATCTTCCTTGTATTATTTAATAAAACATTGATTTTATTAAAATGTCATAAAATTTTAATAAATTTATTGTTAAATACATAAATAAATATATATCATTTTCTCAAAATTATACTAACTTTGTTTCAAGTAAAAATTCATCAAGTTTCTATAAATAACATTCCATTAGAGGCCAATCAATTTTTGATTATATACATAAATGAAATTTGGCAGCTTTATAAGTATAAAATAACCAATTAGTGTCAATTGTTTATTTGAAAACAATAAATTGTTACAGTTAGATATTATAAATGTTCAGGTTTAAAATATTACATAGATGAAAACATTTTTAAACTTATGAAAATAGAAAATTTTGCTGTACAATCAGTAAAGTTTATTAAATGTAAATATTGATTACATATTAACTATCAATACTTTGATAAGTATTATTAGCTAGGTATACTACAATGAGCATAATGAAAGATTGAAGTTGTATGGGTGAGTTATGCAAGATAAACAAGAAGAGCACATGACAGAATTTTAAAGATTTTATTTTAAAATATTAGTTTGACTTAATTTGTATACCATACTTTCCAGCGTATAAGACAACCTCTGACTTTTACAGTTAAAATATAGAGTTTGGGATATACTCGCCATATATGATGACACCCGGCATGTAAGACGACCCCCGACTTTTGAGAAGATTTTCCTGGGTTAAAAAGTTGTCTTATATGCCGGAAAATATTGTACATTAATGTTTGAGAGGAGAGGAGAAATCAGTGATCATGTTCATATAGATGAGAAAAGTGCTGCTTTAATAATCTTCCTTGTATTATTTAATAAAACATTGATTTTATTAAAATGTCATAAAATTTAAAAATACTAACCAAAAATTAAGCCAGAAAATTTCTTATGCAAAATATTCACTTAAACTATGCCTAAAAACACAGGATAGGTGTTGAAAACAATATATTATCATGTGTTTTCAGAAGCTGATATAATGTTATAATGATGTAAGCTAAAGTAGAATGTAACTTAGAAAAAAGAACATTTAAAATTAGAAAGAAAACATTTCTTTCTAAGGTATTTCATATTCCAATTTGTAAGTTTAGAAAGGATTAAAAAAGATTTAAAAACATTATTTAATAAGTTTTATTTGGTTTTCACAATTAAGCTGCTTTTTAAATATTATTCTGAATAAATGTTTTGAGATTAGTAATTGAAGACAAATATTTTATTTATAATAACATAATATTTGATAAAAAGCAGTAATTTTAATTTTTAGATAATATCTTTCATAAAACTTGCATTTTAAATTAGTAATAATCATTAAATGATTAAAATGGCTATTTCTTTTACCAGAATGTCTTATTTTCTTTGAAAAATATATTTCTGTTTACTATATATTAAATACATATTTAAAAATTAATCTTATTTTGAAATAAATTGTTTTATGTAGAAATGCCAGAATTTGATAGAGGAAGATGTGAAGGTGGGACAAAAAGATTGTTAGTAAAAGCATATTTANCGTCCTAATCTCTTAAGAGACATCAGTAATCTAAGTATTCAAATTACAAGTACTTCAAACTGATTATCAGCATTAGAAATATAAAAAAAATGAAAGAAATGGTGATACCGATGGACTTAAAAACTTAAATGAATGAAGATTTTCAGTTTTTATGATTATGCTAAGATTGTGATTAATATTTAATGGTAATATTTACAAGACATTTCCAAATAATTATATTGCAGTGTATTCAAATTATATACAAAGTGATCTTAATTGTTAAGTTTGATATAATGCAACAGTTGAAATCTTGAGATGATGATTTGTATCAAATATTAAGAGTTAATTTGAATGACTTGTTATGCTGTTGATTACCAAACTAATTGAAAATATTAATTAAACATTTTATATTTTAACACATCTTTTTGTTTCTTATTACTATTGTTTTTAAACAGAAAACTTTCAAGACTGAAGGAAAATGGAGTAACTGATTGCCAAGAATTACACTTATTAGAAGAAAAACAAGTATGTTTTTATTACATTTCATTTTAAAAATAAATGTATTTTAAATATTTACAATATATATAAAATGCATGTTAAATGCATCATTTACTAACTAATTAGATGTATGATATTTTTGAGATGTTTATAGCATTTGTCATTGCATGGATAGTAGTTGCTTATAATTGGATCATTATTGTCATAAATATACATATGTACGTATATAGGGTATTACAAATAGTAAAGTAGTCTTATAACTTGGGAATGACTAAAGATTGGAGGATTAGACTAATTATGGGCAAAGAAGGTGCATAAAACTATAAACATACATGCTAACAACAGGTGCACTGTTTACATGCTTACCTGGTTGCCTTTCCTGACTTACATGTTTATATTTACTTTACTTGAAATTGTGCAAGTTATCAAAAATTACCCAAAAGTAAATATTACGTAGATTTTCATGTATTTTCTAATAAGTACCATTTTTGACAACATGTACCATTAGCTTTTGGTGAGAAACACCCACAAACCTCATAGTCTGAAGAACTCTGAAATACACATTTGTCATCTTTTGGACATGTATCCCATACACCTTGTTTGGCCTAATTAGTCCATCCCCTCCAACTTTCAGTCATTTCCAAGTTATGGGACTGGTTCACTTTATTTATAATACCTTATATGTACTTTATTTAAGTACAGTATTGACCTAAATATATGCAACTATTTACCATACTTAAAACAGTCCTTTAAAATAATTTAAAAATTATTTTATATGATTTATGCTATTTATAGTTCCTTGTGATTATTCCTATGCAGTTATTGACATCACAAAGAATTTTTACATATGCTATGATAGGAAATACATATGTAAAATTTTATAATAACCATGTATTTCACAATTATAGTAAAAATGATTTATTGAAAGTACAATTTTGTGTAAATTATAAACTATTTGACACAACTCTTACATGATGTATTGAATTAATAACTATTTTACATAAACATAAGTTAAGGCAACAATAACAATAAGGGATACAAACAATGTTTTATATGAATTTTATTATTATGTATTTCTCAAATGCTTTACTTTAAAATAAAATTTTTTTCAAGTGTTTTTGAATTCACTAAATAAATAATTTATCATAATTCAGTTTTGCTATTGTTTTCTATCTTTATTTAAAATTTAATATCTTTAGTATCATATTTGAGATAAAATTATTTTAAACTTAGAATTGATATTTCCACTTAAAAGTTTTTTGATCCCATTTTTTTAATTTCGTAATAATTCAATTAATTAAAGTAAAAAATTTTAGAAATGATTCAAATTACATTATTGTAAATATAATTTTTATTTTAACTATTAAAGTATATAATTGCATTGAAAAGAAGAGATAAATTTGTAATCTTAATCTCTGAAAAAATTTCTTCACAATATTAAAAATTATCTATTTTTATTACATTACTAGCTGAATGTGTGTGTCATTTTCCCAAGCAAAGTCAGGTGACTTTGTTGGGAAAATGACACTCATATTAAGTAAAATTAATGTACACTCAAAATTGCAATGTGCATAGGCTTGATTAGTTTGAATAAATTTGTGATATATCTGTAACCATTTGACAGAGAAATGAGAGAATCCAATATCTCATTTTTTGCTCAGAGTTGTGATAAGATCAGTGATAAAATTGAAGGCACATTGTGTTCATTGTTTGAGATGTAATGGTAAATTTATTGTATGATGCCAGTGACTCATTTTGAGACAAAATGTGATTGTTCTAATCTTCAAAATATTTTATATCTATTTCAAACAAAATTTTCTGTTAACTGTTAATATATATATAAAAATCAGTTAACAGAAAATTTTGTTATTGACATAACATATATAATAAATAAATTCTATACTATATAAATAAATATATCTATATATATATAATCAAGATGGGTTAATAATAATAATAATAATAATAATAATAACTCTCCCGTGGTCACTACCTGGTCATGGTGGGAGAGCCCAGTAATTTTACTGAACCATAGAGCAATGCAGGCTGGAGCACCAACTCCTGGTAGGGACATCCATGCCAGTAAGGTCTATGGGGAGAAATGAAGCTAAGAGTGACCACACCCACATTCTGTGGAGATATTTATCATGGTAGTAACCAGACTGAAGTGTGATACCGGCTCAGATATTGCCCGGGTTAACAAGGTACGTGTTCGTGGGTTAGGCAGAGGCTCACATTTGAAAAATAGGCCACAGTCTCCCTTGGTTACCGGTGGTGAAAGCTGCGCCGGCCCAAGCATGGCTACTGCAATGCCCTCAACAGATGTGAGGAATCAACCTAGCCTTGGTGTTTCTGTGGCAATGCATCCACAGACCACAAAGGCTGGAAAACCACGCCAACGGATG